TTCAAAAATCCATTCTTCGGGCATTGAGATCTTCAATCTTGCTGGTGTCTTCTTCTTTAGGCACTGTATGCCTTACTGTTTGCTTTCCTTTATAGTTATTCTTTCTAACATCTCCATTTCAGGGGTGGAATTCTTGATCATTAGATCTGTGACCAACCTTTCCACAGGAGAAGCATTTCCTTGCTTCATATACTCTCTTTTATCATTCTCAGAGAGGCGATCAACGTCCATGGCATTAGGATTGTTGTTTCTTGGGGTGAAGCATGGGGTTGATCAGCGATCATTGAATCAGGTGTTTCTATTGTTGTTCTGGGGTCTGTGGGCAAGGAGAAGCTGATAGGAGTTCTCAATGGATATCACCTTCTTGACTATTCTGTCAAGGGTGTCAGGGATCTCTCCGGAGTTGCAAAGTTTCGTGATGAGTGGCTGTTTAAGGCCTCAGAGGAAGTCATCTTTCTGAGCATTGAAGCTGTAGATCTCAGCTTGGTTACAGAGCTGTTGGAATGTGGCTATGTACTCGCTTAAGTCATTGCCTTATTTAAGGGCATGGAGCTTATGAAGCGCAGTACCAGCTGAGTTGATTGGGTTGAAGGTTTCTTCAAACTGGGAGATGAATTTGTCCCAAGTTCCATATCCATTCTTTTCTCCATGGGTGGATGTGGGGTCAAGTTGCTGGGCATGTTTGATGAAATCTTCCATCCATGCTGCAGCTGTGCCTTCCTTCATGAATGAAAGGGCGAAGGCAATTTTTCTAGTGTCGGTATCATAGATTTCATTGTTTGTGTCTAGATAGAGTGTGACAAGATGAAGGAACCTTGAGGTTCCATCTTGGTTTCCATCGAAGTCAGGTGGGGTGCAGATCTTTCTTTCAATAGGTTTAGGCACGTCATCATCAGTGTCAGAGTCTGTGTCTGTGTCTGCATCTGGTTCAGGGGTAGGGAATCTGGGTGGTGCTACCGGTTCAACAGGTGGAGCATCAGGGATTTCTTCATCTCTGTCTTCTACAGATGCTGGTGCACTTGTTTCAAAATGAGAAACGATAGTGCAGTGTGTAATGGAAGATGGGCCTGGGACAGCAAGAGTAGGGAGAACAGGAGTGCAGGGAGCGTCAAAGGATCCTCACGACGAAGAGGTTCGTCTAGGAGAGTTGGGTGGATAGGGACTATATGGGATCCCAGATCGTTCAGAGAAAGCCTTCTTGCTTTTCTTAGAAGGTGCCACTTTGGCAATCAATCAGTTCCATAGGTTCAAAGAGTAAAACCCTACAGATGGAGGGGTTCAAAGGTAACTTGAATCTTTTGTTATGAACTCAGATTGAGCATTGTTCCAATAAAGGAATCAGGATCAAGGTTGATCAAGGACTAAGCCTTATCGAGTCAATGCCTCCCTCAGGAGTGATCACTTAGACTCCCACAGGATCTAAGGTTCAAATGGGACAATGGCTAGCCTCCTTCCCAAGGAGCTAGAGTTCAAGTATCAAGGAGAACCAAGTAGATTCAAGTTAGAGAAAATACAAATGGTAACTAAGGTTTATATATGTAAGGGAATTGTGCACAGACCAGGCTGGGCAAAGGGTAACTAGTACTGGAAATGGAAGGTTCATGGGAAAACAAGGTGTGAGTTAAAGATAAGAGAGACCATGAGGAGACAGCACAGTGAAAAGGAAGCATTAGAAGTACAGCCATATAGGAGTCCACAGTGATGATGAGAAAAAGAGTGGGGCACTGTAACACTCCGGAGGGATCACAGATAGATCTGGAGCATCAGATGAAGTGGATACGGAGTGGATCTTGGCACCAGAAGGACGTAGGGAGATGCTGAACTGCTTGGAGCCTTCTAACTTGCAGGCCTGGCAAAAGGCAACTGCATTGATTAGAGAAATGTTAGGCTCAGAGGTATCAGCAGAGGTGTCTGAAGTAGTCGGAGGGGTAGTTTCCACTGGAGGTGGCAGAGGCGATATCAGAGGGGTCAATGGCATTCCATGAGATGAAGTCCGGAACTCAATGCTGTGCGAAACCCAGTCAATCAATGGATTGTGTTGGTTAAGCCAGCTATATCCAAGGACAATAAGACAGGATGAATCCAAAGGAGTTACATAGAACATATTGGAGGTGACTACACCGGATGAGAAATGGATGGGCAGATCTATAGCTTCAGAAATGGTTGCATTACAAGTACCATCAAATAAACAGAGCGGAATCAGAGGAATTGCATAGGTAGGTAGATTATATTTACGGACAAAGCCGGATTCTATGAAGCAATGGGAAGAACCACAATCTACAAGAGTTGGAAAGTCAGAAATATCAGAATACATAGGGATGGAAACATATGGACAGAGAGAGTTTGGATCGGACAAGGAAACAGCATTGAGTCATAGCTCCATTGCACAGGTTGAGTCAATGCAACCCTCATCCCATGTGGAGTCAGGAGGGTCGCAGATTATTTTTTCGCCTCGTCCAAGGCATCTGGTTTGGTTCCTGGATTGACTGTAGCTGCATGACCTTTGGTAGTGCGCGAAGTTGACTTTGTGCAGTCCCAAGCAGTATGCCCAGGTCCACCACAGAACAGACAGAGCTTCCTGTCCAGCCTCCTCTGACGTTCTTCAGATGTAAGCTTTCCATCCTTACCCAATTTGCTGTTAAGGTCCAGAGCTTTAGAAGCGGAGGTAGTGGACGAAGTCGTCTTTCCAGATTTGTTGTTTCCGGAGGAAGTGCTTCTGGATCCGGACACATTGGCATTGGTCCGTTTGGAAGACTTGGCAGGAGGATTGGGTGTGGAGGATTTGGTTTCATGGGAGATCTCTCCCTTGCATTCCCAATAGCAGGCATCAATGGTCTACGCAAGGGTTTTGTATTCCAAGAGTGTGCCAGGTTTTCCCATGCGACTGATTTCATCCTTGATACGAGCAGGAAGTCCATTATAGAATTGTCGGCGTAGGGCTCCGTCACCCCATCCACGGACCTGAGAGGCAAGTCATTGGAATTCTACAACATACTTGTTGATGCACTGTCCATTGTGCATATTGAGTTGCTCGAGCTGCATTTCCACATCTCTGGAGGGGTCATGAGGTCCGAAATTGGTCTGGAGTTCAAGCATGAACTTGGAATAGTCATCCATCCAGTCCAGACGATCAGTATGTTCATTGGAAAGGAGGTCAGGTTTGAACCACTCAAGGGCCATTCCTTTGAGGTAGGATTGGGCAAAATTGACTTTAGACCTTCTGGTATGGAAAGTGTTGGGTTTGCTCTGGAAGTTGAGCTCGCACTGGACAAAGAATGCATGAAGTTTCTGGGGCTTGGTGCCATCAAAGACATCTGGCTCCTGGACCTTGACTTTAGGATCTTCGGGGAGGGTGGTGCAATGATTGTTTCAGGCGAGATTGTTGATAGCTCTGGATAGGAGTACCATAACGCAATCCTGTGGACCCAGGCCATTGTCTCTATCATCATTGTCTTCATCATCCGGATCATCATCCGGATTTCCACTGTTACCATCTGGTGGGTTTCTGCCAGGGGTATCATGATCAACGTCATCGTCATCCAGATCTCTTTGGCCCAGAGGGGCTAGGGCTGGAGTCCATGTAGGGGTCTCCAGATGTTGACGACTCAGAAGCTCCGAGATGCTTCCAGCAGTAGTGCGCTGGCTAACACGATGCTGCGAGAAGCTATTGAAGGTGTCAATGATAGGAGTGGAATCACAGTGGGTGGATACTAATCCGGCCACTCAGAGAGTGTTTGCAGTTTTGGTTGGAGCCATAGGAAGTGTAAGTATACTCAGTAAGGTGTGAGTTTGAATATACTGTTAAGGTTGTACTCAAGGGATAACTGAATCTGAAGGGCTTCAGCCTCAGCTCGTGCGCTGTGCCCCTTACCCAAGTATTGCCCCTTATTTCAGGAAGGCAAGACTAATGTGTCTGGAAGGTTGGATGAGTAGCGTAATGGATCCGGACAACTTCCGGATGAGGGATAAGTATTGTAGGGCTAATCTGGATGAGTCCAGACTAGAAACTAACAGTAATGGACTGTCAGAGACAGAGGCAGATATGGATAGACTATAGGAATCAATCCTAAGTCTTGGAGGGTGACGAGAGTAGAGATACTCAAGTCCAGAGGACAGGAATGAGTAGAACTAAGATGATATTCAAACTGAGGTACTACAGAAAGTTACAGGAGGTTATATACTATAGGTATCTAATGGAATGATCAATCAGCAGAGTCCAAGGCTATGTATGAAGCATGTGGATAGTCTATTGGTAAGTAGAAATGGATCACAAATCATGAAACGGAAATGAAACATAGGTAGCAGATAAGGGAACAGGACAGATATACAGATAACCAAAATACCGGAGTTAGGGGGTTACTGAAAGGAGACAGGCGCTGGTTGTGGATTTGGATGAGTTGTGGACCGGACCGGACGAGTGGACAGATTGAATGACGAGATGTTGGAGGGAGATAAGATGTGGATAGGATCAGAGATAAGATGTGGATCTGAGATCCAGATATGCGGATATGACAAATATGAGGATAAGGGCAACATTACGAATGATTGATTTTTCAGAAGTGGAATCAAGTATGTCAAGGATCAATGAGAACTAGAACAAGAATGGCAACAAAAGCAAAGGGAGAGAGCAGCTGGTATTGAAAGGATATGGGATGAAAGTAGTGAAGTTCTGCTGTTGGAAGCAAAGATTAAACAGGAGACTCTGAAAGAGGAATTACTTGAATGGCTGGATATCAATTAGTAGTCATATGTAGAAAGGAGTGGAACTCGAAAGGAGAGGATGGTAGAGATGCAAGTAGAAGATAAGCTAGTTAAGAGATGGATCAATAGCCCATGGAATAGACAGTCCAGGATAGGGAGGGCCACTCTGATGCAAGGGACCAGCAAAGTTAGGTTGAGCTCACAGATGTTCAAGCTCAATTTGCTGTTCAAGCATGGTGAGCTTGTATGCACACTGTTGTTCAGCTTCGGCAGCCTTAAACTGGAGATGAGAATCAAACTCAGCCTTTTTTTGATCTTCCTTTGCCTGGATCTGCAGAGTATGCTCTTGCTCCTGCACTCAAGCAACTTTCACCCTTGACTCGCTGAGGGAGGTGGTAAGGTCCTCGATATGGCTGTGCATCAACTTTTGCTCCTGGCCACTTGCATGATGGACAGAAGATGGTGCTTGATTTGTCGTCATCCTTGGTATACTCAGGAGTTGGTGAGCAAGCCCACTTGATTGGTATCTCATCATCATCATCTATAGTCTGGAACATTGAAATATTATCTAAAGTGTGCTTGAAGGTATAACAACATACTACACACCTGAGAGCAGTTGAGGATGGTTAGATCAAGCTGAGATGCACTGTTAGACACAGTGGAGCAGTCCACAGCAGGACTCTCGCAATACAAGGCATTCATCTGTTTATACCATGGAAACCTTTTCTTGACTTGGTCTGTACAAGAAAAAAGTGTTAGCTCACATCACAGACACTCATCAAATCATACCCCATGCATTTCAATCAAGCCCTGACCAGTCTGTGACATTGAATCATGGTGCTTTATGAATGCCTTGCATAGCCCACTGTATATGATTTTAAGCTTTCAATACAAGATTAGATTGAAGTGAAACACATACTTCATTATGCAGTTCTTGACAGTTTCTGCAAGGTCACTGAGGTCTACATTCTTCCATGGCGAGTCCTTGCGATTGAGAAAAAGGGCTGTAGCCAATTGCCAGTAAAGATTTGCAGGCCAGTCTCCAGTTGAAGCAACCTTGCCACTACCAAGCAGCACAAATCTGAATGCCTTGTGATAGGTGTTACTCTCCTTAATGAGAGTGAGTAATGAGTCTGTAAGGTGGTGGTTCTCAGGTTTAGACCAACTAGCTCATACAAAGAGTCAGTAGCATGTGTTATAATACTGGACAACTCATGCTACAAGAATAGTTCTTCTCTTGTCTGCTGACCTGGTCCCAGCAGCCTCCCAAGGATCTAAGTTCTCTTTCATGTCAGTAGCTGCAGGCTTAACACAGGACTTTGGGCAGCTTTTGCTCACCTTTGCCATTGCTGAATTCTGGGCAGCAGCAAGGCATGTCTCCAGCAACTCCCTTATTGTGGTCATTGGCAGCCACACCACTTGAATAATGAGCCGTTTGACAATTGGATAACACCAGATTTCAGAGCCTGTGCCATTAATGCTAAATGAAATCAACAAATCATTGAAACCAACTCATTTTCTGCAGAGAGTCAAAAACAGAATTGAAAATGATGTCAAAAATGGTGTCAAAACCCAACTTTGAATGTCCCTATTGGCAGATTACTGCCATTCTGCCATTTGCCATGGCAGAACTTGGCAGAACTTGAAAAGGTACATCAACAAAAGTAACATCATATAATCACAAATAATCAGTAGAATAAGTACCAGACATGTGACCAGAGCACATGTGAGATCCCTGACTCCACTTTAGTGGAAGTGGGTTCTGTGGCAAGCAAATAAACATTTCTCTGTAAATGAACTCATGGGTGTGGAAGGAGTGCTTAGTCAGTAGTTATGGGAAAGCATTGCACTAGCCTTTTTCTTTCTTAAAATTAAACACTTGCAGATACAGATACTATACTTGTTCATACATCAGCAAAACCACTGAAATGAATGCTTATAGTGTGTTGCATGTGAGATTGCAGTATGTGTTTTTCAACAACTCAGTCTCATTACCTTTACTGGCACTTTTACACCCTAATTAGGTCAAGGGATATGACATGTCACTCTATATGGTGTAACACCTGCACATTTATTATTTGTGCATTCTGCACCTTGTGCGGTGCACATTTCCCACTCCCAAATTTCTTAAGCAATTCCGCACACTGTCTTTGTATCAGCTGATTGTTCACAGCTAGCAGGCCAAGTCTGTTAAGGTCGCATGCTCAAGGGGGTCAGATCACAAGGGCTTGGCCTCAGCTCATACACTGTGCCCCTTTTCTGAGTATGTGCCCTTAATTTCCAGGGGCTAAAACAGTTGTCCAGAGTTTCCGGGATTTGACTAGGGCAGACAATGGACATCCAGATCTGAAATGTGAGATAAATCTGATGGATGTCTGGATGTTACCTGGGCAATCAGATAAGACTAATCCGGACGAAGTCTGGACTAGAAACTAACAGAGGATGGACTACCTTTAAGGTAGAGTCAGAAATGTAGTCTAGGATGCAATCCTAAGACTTGGAATATGACAAGAGACTTATCTCAAGTCTGGAGGACACAGGAATGAGCAGGAACTAAGATGATATTTGAACTGGAGTACTTCCGAGAGTTACAGGAGGTTTATATACTGTAGGTATCATATAGGAATCAGTCAGCAAACATAAAGGCTATGTACAAAGCATATGCAGAGTCTATTAGTAAGTAGGACAGATCACAAATAATGAACACTGGAAATGAAATGTATGTAGTGGATCAATAATCAAAAGGGAAACATGGTTAACCAGAGTCCAGAGACAGGGGCAGTCTAAATGGGGTTGGGCGCTGATATAGGGTTTGGATTCTGGAAGGGAGATAAAGATAGATCAGATCATTTGAGATCCAATCTCAGATCTGGATATCTGGAGAAGCAGATTTAGAGTTGAGAGTCCAGAATGGCATATGACAAAGTCACTACATCACACTCAGGGACAATATATACAAGCATAACATAGATGAGTAAGTCTGTTTCCTGCCATTTTGTGATATCCTTCTCACCTTGTTTTACCTGCAGGAGCTTGTGTTCTGTCTCTATCCTGGCTCTTGTTTATTGTGAGTGATGGACAGATATTATACAGTACATGCATCTGACATGCTCTTCTTGCCCAAAGCTTAACACCACAACATGACCTTGGGCTCCCCACACTTCCTTGTCTCCATCTGTTGCTGCCTGTAGTTCTTATAGTGCAACTCCTTCATCATCAAGATGTGGTCAAACATGTGCATATAGACATCTGCATCAAATGAGTGTCTACAAAGTAGTAACAAGTAAATCATGTATCTGACTGCAAGATATCATTAGTAGGTGAGGCATTATGAGGGTGCAAGTTGAATGTAGCAATATGGAATGAGATGATGAGGATACTAGTATGAATGGTGATGCACAAAGAACAAAAACTACGAAATTAATGTGCCTGTGATTTGGGAAATAGACCTAGTTACCATCAAATGTTGTGCAACATAGCCTATGCCGACTCTCAAATTACTCAGAGGTTGGCAAGATTCAGCATAGAGTAATGGGAGTCCCAAGGATTGATGTATTCTGTGAAAGGGTCATTGTCCTGTATCTTGTCATACCACAGGACATCTGCTTTGCTGACTGAGACAAAGTCTGGTGGAGCAGATATCTTGTTCTTTACTTTGAGGGTAGCTGGCACTCAACCAGTCATAGTATGAAATGATACCATTTCTGAAATAACAGCAGTGTAGATGTTCATCAACAAGTAGTGTAAATGAGCAGAATGGTAAACTCACTATAACTATTGGATTGAGCCCTGATCTGGGTTGATGGAGGTGGTTCAAGTTCAGAGGCAGACTCAGAGTTCATTAAAAACAAGGGAACAGCAGTGCCACTTGCAGGTTCTAGAACAACAGATAAAATAAGCTCAGTTGTTGCAATATTTGAGAGACAAACCTTTTTTGAGTTTCTTCTGAACTGCTTTCCTAGTAGCTTCTGATGACAATGGGGGGGGGCGGAGTGTGACTGTGCTTTGCTAATGAAATGGATGAGTTCATCATACTATAATTTGAATCACAAATAGTACTCACCATTCTGTCTTCTCATGGGTGACTTAGCAGGTGCTGCCTTGCCTTTACCCTTTGGGTCCTTGGTGTCTGAATCCAAGGACATATCAAGCTCCATCAATGAACTTGCAATATCATTATCTGACTTGATGTTAACTGAATTATCTGTGTCAGACAAAAGGATGTTGTTACAATTGTTGTGTTCAGAATCTGATTCAGCTATCACAGGCTGAGTGTTCCAAGACTCATAAACACTGCTAGGAATCCAGTTCCTTGTGACTAGTGCCAGTAGTATTCCATGAGTACAACTTGAATGAAGCAAAAAATAAATGAGAACACATCAAACCAAAGATGACAATCAGTAACACTTGCTTTGTCCTGGCCCTTATGTTTCACAAGATCACACCTAGCCAGAAACCCAATATCAATGACTGTTAGTGTTTGTCTGCACTTGTTGAGGAGCTGCCAAATTGGCTTCTTTTCATGTTCATGCTGCAATGTAGCTGATTGTTGTTTCTCAGCTTGAACATTGAGGTAATCGAAGACTTTAGGAAACCAGCTTTGTAACTGACTGGTGACCTTGTGATAATTCCATCCACTTTCAATGATGAGCTGTTGTTCAAGGTAACAGCCACAGTTTTTCATAGCCTGGATTTCATTTTTGCTGTTCTTGGTTGGGGCTTTGGACACTCTGATAAGACCATCCCTCTGTCAAAAGCTGAGTTAGCGAGTTAACCTGTTTCTCAAGGGCACACTTGACTGACATCAACACCACAAGTCAACATGGCCACTGATGCAATATGAAACATGTTCCCTGATGTTGAGATACTAGGGATGTGCCTGCCAGTGTGTGCTTGGCTTCCAACCATTTGTGAGCTGGTAATTTCCTTATGATCCTGAATATAATTTTCATGTGAATCTATTTTCATGTACTACTAGGACAGCACTTACCTTTCACAAGCCTGCTGATGGTGCTAGGCCCTTGGCCAGCTTGTGATAACCAGCAAGCCAAGTTGATGACATAGTTAATAATGCTTCCTCTCGAGCACTGGTGAGTGGCACTAGGCTTCCTTGCTTGCCTGTAGTGGCAAGCTTCAGGTTGTCATTCAAGTTGGCAGTTTTTCCACTAGTGATTCAAGTAAAGATATCCTTGATAGCAGCTGCTGAACTTAGCCAAGGTTGTTCATCAGCATCCTCTTGAACTTCCAGTACTGGTTCACAACTCATTGGAGCTTTCCAGGGGTGCTTGCTGTGACCATGGCCACACTCTGTGCAATGGCCTTCATCCTATGTGCAAGGGAAAAACTCCTCACAGTCACATGTTTGACTGTTGGACTTGAGGCCTCTACAGAAGAGTTCTTGATTCAAGTTGTTGCCTTTGGGATCCATGGCTTGGGAGTTGGAAGGCACTAGTGAAAGGGAATGTGGAGACAACTTGAAGCAGTAGACTCAGATGTGCAGATGACCTTAAGCAAGGTAATTACACAGATAGCCTGGCAGTTTATATACACCTAACAAGGATATGACAATTTACATTGATGTGTAGTACTTGTAATTAGTTGCTGCTGGCAGTTAAAAAATATGACAAGACTAATAATGCCTGACACCATAATTTTGCTCAATCAAACCAGATCGGTTCAGCAAGTGAAACGTAAAGTTCTTTTGATCCTCATTGACCAAAGGTAATAGTCTCAAATTTCAGGTAGTCATCTCCATCCCACTCATCTAACATTAGCCTGCAATTGTTTGGCATGATATCCTCAGCTATAACTTCATCAAGGGTGGCAGAAAACTGCTGTCATGTTGTGATGGCACACTAATAGCCTCATGATGGATCTGGTATCTTTGCTGATTGTTGATTGCCTGTACCATAGTATTTGGATGTTCATCATCACTATCTGGGTTGCTGTCTTCTTCATCAGCAGGGTGTCCAGCTCCTGTTTGATGATGCTTTTGAGTTATCGTGTGACCATGGACTCCATAGTACTTGTTAATCACATCAGGATGCATGCCTTCACAGTCATCATGATAGATGCCAAACTGCAAGTGCCCTAAAAAACATAAATCCTATGTGTCCATCCAGTAATTTGTCAACATTACATCAAAAATTCAGCTGTGAGTTTACCTTGGGACTCTTTTTGTTGGTGTCAGGACCATGAATGGGATGACAGTTCCATTCTGCCTGAAAATTTGAGCAATCCAAATTGATTTCATCAAGAAATAAAGTCTGGAGTAGCCAGATGTGATTTGCAGTCTGAGGATTGAGCCCATGATAATTTTCAAGTCAGGTAAAAAAACACTCTCTATTGCCTAGTGAATTGTGTGCCAACCTCAACCCACAAATGTTCAATTTGAGTGTTCTGTGTAAAGCTTAGTACATTGGGTGTTAGTACTAAATAACATAAACCAACAGGATCACAACTCATGATCCCCACATGAAAGAGGCACAGCATGGTCTGTTTTTCATTATCATGTAAGTTGCTATATCAAGATTCTCTCCACCCTGATCTCCTCACACTCGAGAAGGCATCCTGAAAACCTGTGTTGCTTGCTTAAAAAAATCCAGAACAGTTGTTGAATAATTGTTATTACTTGCTTGCAATCCCATTATCTGGCAGAAATACAAATGAGAATTAACAAGCTGTACAAATGAAAATATCAAACTGTTCTGCAGAAACCATCAATAAAACCATGAATGACTATTCCCTAGTGAATTAATTTATGGTGTCCATCTATGTGCCACAATGCATTAGGCTGCTTAACATGATACTTACACCAATGTTTGACCCATCAGTCATGCAACACCTGACCTAATCTGTCAACTCTGCAGAGCGATTCTACCACATGTCAATGCTGCACTCACAGTCCATGCCTATGGAGAAAACCAATCATGTATCTTATGCCTGAATCAGGTTGCTCTTTCTTGAACTCAGTGACAAGACAATCAAGGTCAACATTGGTAAGGTTTGAGTATTTTCTTTCAACTCCATAGCACTTCATATGGCATTGTAATGTGTTCCTGTGACTCCAAGCATTTCAGAAAGCTCAGTGAGTTTAATTTGTTGGGAAGTAGAGACTGCTTCAGTGAGGAATTTGACATCAATCATTTTTTTGGATAGCCTGGACAGCCTGTGTGCAGCAAGGCCACTGGTTCTGGAATCATGACATTGTCATCTATGCTGTTGCATAATCAATGACGCAAAATACATATAAGAGATGTTATGATATGCCCTGCCCTACTGTACTTTTTCTTCTCTCTTGTCATCTATTGTCTCCATCTGACTTATCTTACATTTACTGTATTATGTCATGTGCTGCTACTGCTGCCATTAGACACCATCTACATGTCCTGTCTATGTGAACATTTCCTTTCTGGTATCTCTGACCTCATCATACCATCCATATTAGGCATATGCTCATATCTTTACTTACTCGCACCTGCCCTAAACTCCTCCCGGTATTCCCTATAAATATGTGACTCATAACTGTGTAGTTTCCTTACTTTAATCTTACTAGGTTTTACCTGGAACATCCTTTGCTTAAGACCCCCAATCTTAAGTTGTCTGAACAGTACTTTAAGTCAGAGACACCCCTCTGTCTTAGCTTACTCTGAACACCTGGCTTATCACCTTGTGTAGATTCTCAACAGAGGTTCTGACTCTTATTGAGTTGTCCATTGTTAGAACTATCCTAGTTTATAACAAGAGATGGATTACCAATTCTGCAAATTGTACTGAAATGATGAAAAAAGTACAGAGATATTTCACAGCAAATGCACTGTATGAGAGAGCCAATCTTGCATCTCAAGTCCTTGAGGGTCATGTGCAAGGGCTTCAAGTAATGGGATAGCATCCCCTGATATAGTGTCTATATGAAATGTGAGCTGGATTGGGTCAGCATCCTCTTGATGAAGAATATGATGGGCATGTCAGTACATATCTGACAAAGTATTGTGGGCAGTGAAAATATTTGCAGACCATGGATTCTGATTTAGCATACAAGATGGTAATTGAGGCAAAGCTATTGGTAGCACAGGCATCACAGTAGATTGACTTGAAGACAGAGTAGCATTTGGATGACAACAACATAATCAAACTTTGCATGAGAAGACAAGCAAATAATAGTCACTAATAAAGACATAACAGCAGCAAAAAATGCACCATCAGCAAAGACAAAAAAGATCCAGGTGTTGATGGACACCATTGGGTGTTACAATACAAGGTGAGGCAGTCCCAAAAAATGTTGCAGGGCCATCACAACAGTCAGCAGTGGGTGAAGATCGTGATAATGAGTAATATACAGTGGCTCAAAAAACTGTCCGCATGTTTTCACATTTTTCACTATCTATGATATTGTGTGAGAACTCACAAATGCCTCAAGGACATGCTTATACCACATTGTAGTATGGCTTCAGGGCTTTCATTTGAGCCCTACACCGTGGGAATCGGTGGAGATATGGTGGAGACATAAGGCTTACAAAATCATGACTCATGTGGACAGTTTTTTGAGCACATATTAAAAACTATATAAATCATCATTTATGACACCATAACAATCATGCCACCATTAAATAAATTATAAAGTGGTGTCATTATGTCATTTTAAAACCATATCTAACTATACAAACCAAAAATTTCCATATGTCATGGTTATATTCACCATGAAAGCCACCCCCCCTGCTCAAAGGGATAATATCCTCTCTCTTTCCTATTCTGGCCTCTCTGCTTGTCAAATTTCCTCTAGAACTGGAGTATCCAAGTCCACTGTGGCCAAGTTTATCAAAGAAAGTCACACAGACAAGGAAAACTTCTGTGAAGGGCATCCATCCAAGCTCACCTCTACTGATAGGAGGGCTATTATTCAACATATCACTACAGGAAAGGCTGATAATGCTGTCCAGGTCACCTATTACATCAATTCCACCATCACATTCCCTGTCTCTTCACACACTGTGAGAAACATTCTCAAGACAGCTCATCTCAGGTCAGTAACAAGGAAGAAAAGGTTCTCCTCTCTATCACACATAAACAGAGATGACTAACCTTTGCCTTAGCCCATCAGAATTGGATTATATGGACTGGAAGCATGTTATATGATCATATAAGACCACAATAAATAGGATTGGGTCAGATGGCAAGGTATATATGTGAAAAAAGAAGGGTGCTAGTCCTCTCTGCATATGTGTGATAGAGAGGAGAACCTTTTCTTCCTTGTTACTGACCTGAGATGAGCTGTCTTGAGAATGTTTCTCACAGTGTGTGAAGAGACAGGGAATGTGATGGTGGAATTGATGTAATAGGTGACCTGGACAGCATTATCAGCCTTTCCTGTAGTGATATGTTGAATAATAGCCCTCCTATCAGTAGAGGTGAGCTTGGATGGATGCCCTTCACAGAAGTTTTCCTTGTCTGTGTGACTTTCTTTGATAAACTTGGCCACAGTGGACTTGGATACTCCAGTTCTAGAGGAAATTTGACAAGCAGAGAGGCCAGAATAGGAAAGAGAGAGGATATTATCCCTTTGAGCAGGGGGGGTGGCTTTCATGGTGAATATAACCATGACATATGGAAATTTTTGGTTTGTATAGTTAGATATGGTTTTAAAATGACATAATGACACCACTTTATAATTTATTTAATGGTGGCATGATTGTTATGGTGTCATAAATGATGATTTATATAGTTTTTAATATGTGCTCAAAAAACTGTCCACATGAGTCATGATTTTGTAAGCCTTATGTCTCCACCATATCTCCACCGATTCCCACGGTGTAGGGCTCAAATGAAAGCCCTGAAGCCATACTACAATGTGGTATAAGCATGTCCTTGAGGCATTTGTGAGTTCTCACACAATATCATAGATAGTGAAAAATGTGAAAACATGCGGACAGTTTTTTGAGCCACTGTACTCTCTATAATGTTTATATTGATCAATAGCTTGATAACCTTGTACTTTGACACTTATCTTGAGTAGCTACTTCTGTAGGCTTGCTGTGCATTTGCCACTCATACATCAGTAGTGTTGATTACATAATGCCATGCTTTGTTTGCTGGCATTGTCCATCCCCACTTCCTAGCTGATCATTGTTTTTGTAAAACCTCTTGAATCATCAATATGTCAAAGGCAACTCGACACTCTGTTTACTACTTTCATACATCAAGCCATATCTTGCAGGTGTGTTTTACTAATGTATTCTTCAGTTTGGACTCACAATTTGAAATATTTTGTGCTAGCAGGTTGAGAACATACTGTACAAGCTCTGCAGTTTAATTTTATCCTCAGCTTCCAATGTGTTTCATGATATGTTTGCTGCTACTCAGAACAGTGGTCAAATGGAGCTGGACAGCATGAGTGATGACAAGCCCATTCACCTCAAAGGAATATCCCAGGATGCCTTTGAGTTGTTTCTTGAGCTTACATTTGGAAGGTATGTTAATGCCCTTGCTCTTCTATTTAGCCACTTGATAATTTGTACTAGGATGCATGCTGGCTCATATACACTCAATGAGCTTACAAAATTCCTCCATTTCTGCAACATGTACCAATGCTGCTATGCATGAGAATTTGTTGTTTCCCATGTGTTTGCAGCATGTTTCTGCTTCCACCCAGCTCAACTAATAAATATGGCTATCAAATATCATGTCTGTTCACTTTTTCCATTTGCTGTTACAATCGTGGTTACCCCCCTATCTTTTCTTTCTATACTTGTGTATTACGTCATGACCGCACCTGGCTGTGCCATCATTAGACTAACGTCTTTCTATATCAACGTCACTGTATCACAGCACGACCGCCACGTGCCGTCGCTAGCTGACTCATTTCCTTATCTCTGACTCACTATGACGTCACTAGATGACTCATTCTCTTATCTCTGACTCGATTGATGACGTATGCGTACCTGCCCTAAAGTACCTACGCCTATATAAACCCAGTCATGTACTTAGATAGACTTCACTTTAATCTACTAGGTTTTACCCTGAACTATCCTTCGCTTAGGACCTCCAATCCTAAGTCATCTGATAACCAATATTTGAGCCAGAGACACTCTCTCTGACTTGTCTTAAGAACCTTACATTTGTAAGGCCTTGATCCAGCTTCAGGCGTTACTCTTATCGAGTACCTGTTGTCGCGCCCATCCTAGTTCACCATAACATTTGCTTTTCAGCAACTCACAGAAACTCCCATTACCAAGATCACCCATGCACACCAGGAGCTGATGGGCAACAAGGTCTTTCTAAATGTGGTTTATGTTCAAGCTGCTCTTGATCACCATCATTGAATTGTGACTGCAGAGGAACCAAGAATATTGATGCACTCAAATGATTGTGGTGACCCAGCTGGTTGCAGCAAGGATTGGCACACTACATGGTGGAATGGTATGGGCTGTTTTCTTCTCAATGGTAGGAACCCTCAACCATATGGTGATGCCATCAAATGCTTCAAGGACATGTTGTTTGGCCATGTCAGTGAGGGCTATAAAGATCTCATGTTCAAAATTCTTGATGAGGGTGTAGCATTCCATCATGCAGAACACTTTATTACCAAGGCCTGCCAATTTCTATTAGAGAAACTGGTATATGAGCCCTAACATCTTGCTAGCTACTATTGTGTATTAGTTTACAAGAACTTTGGCATAGTCTCGTCATTCCCAACTTACTTGGTAGTTGGGGAGGAATGTGGTACTGTAGAATATCTGTCCTGTCACTCACAATAAATGGGAAATGAACTTCAGGTTACTCATCTGTGTTGTGCTTGTATGTATATAAGCAGTAGGGCAAGCTACAAGAACCCACTCCCTTACAGTAGCAGGAATTTTGTCCCTGAGTGTGATGTAGTGACTTGGCCTGCTAGCTGTACAAACAATCAGCTGATACAAAGATTTGATTTAGAAATTGTAATGCTGCATATGTGCCAATTCCTGATGACAAGATTCAGAATGCTCATCATGTGATACCAGTCACATGGCACTTTTTCCTGGTCATGTGACTTGTTGTTGGGAAATTGGGAGTGGGAAATGCACACCACACACTGTGGAATGCGCAAATAATAAATGTGCAGGTGTTACACCATAACTCTAGGGCCTGCTGCTTACAAGATGTCACATCCCTTGATCTAATTAGGGTGTAAATGTGCTGATGAAGGTAGTGAGGCCAAGTTTTTGAAAAACACATACTGCAATCTCATATACAACACACTGTAGCTTAAGTGTGTTACAGAACACTTATGACTTCAGTAGTGTACTCATGTGATTGGTGGAGAGCTCAGATGCTGATATGTTTTATGAAAATCAATGAAATCAGGATTTGATTAGATGTAAACAGGCTAGATTGTACTATCATACTTATCAACATGATCAGATCAGTGCAGATAATCAATTGTACCACAGGCAACATGGAAAATCTACATTAAACCAGAGTGCATCATATTGAAAACTTCCTTGTCTAAAAACATATTCAAGTAGTATTCATCACAAATTTCCATTGCATTTGTGGCAGTTATCATGTGGTCCATCTTCAAGCCATACATAGGAATAAGCTTGATAGCACATGCAACAGCTGTCAGTGGAATGATACTGCCAGGTCAGAAGATCTAACCTGTCCCATCCTGATGGTAGATTACATGCCAGCAGTCACATCCTCAGTAGGTGTTGTTGAAGTCTGAGTGATCTGAAGAGAGAGAGATTGATGAAACCAAAGGATCTGACTGATAGGTATGGGCAGGAGAGAAAAGTCCAAGCACATGAGCCAGACAGGCCAATAGGCTATGCCTGAATGACGTTGGCTTGTGCCCTGCAATATATATATGTCAGAAAACTTCTCCTTTGCATTCCTTACTTACCTAGTATAAAACCAAGTGCTCATCAGACACACACATCTCAGTTCTAGTTGAAACTGAGATATGAGTACCTAAAAACATGTATGTCAGTGTTAGCTGACCAAAATTGTAGTGTACCTTTGTCTTCTAGGTACTATGCATGTTAATACACTGAGTTCTAGCTGAAACTGAGATCATACCTTTGTCTTCTAGCTCCCTCTCCTGTTGTTCGCTCGCCTGTTATTGCAACAGGTGTTGCTGTGATTTGAAAGTACTGAACATATACAGTGACTTGCAAAACTGTTACAATGTTTGGTACTTTTCAGTGTACACAATATAGCACCTATGCATGTGAGAATCATGCTTAGTGTTGGTGGGGGCATGTGAACTACAAACCCTTGGCTACAGACTGACACTTGGATCACGTGATTTGGCCAAGAGGATGTGAAGATATGCCTATTTTAAGACAGATACCATTGTAACAGTTTTGCAGCTGTTGATATAGATAGTGGGATCTCAGTCAAATCACAGGATGGTTACTGTTATTTGCTTATACAAATAAAAATATACATAAAAATATTATGTCTGAGTTTGAAATTGCTCCCATGCTTCTTTATTCCCAACCATTGCTACTATTTCCTTAGGAAGATGCTCATACTCTGCAAGTCTTCTTTTGACAAGGTCCCAGAGGTATTCCAATGGGTTAAGGTCAGTAGATTGTGCAGACCACACAATAGTCCTAAATTCCTGTCCATCTAGTCACTTCTTGACCTTTTTGCAGGTACACTTAGGGTCATTGTCTTGCTGAAAGATGACATCAGAAGCATTAAGATCATAAAACTCCTGGAAATTCTGAAGTTTGTCCTTCAAAATTTGAAGGTAAAGATCTCCATCCATTCTACCATCAATCTTAGCAGCATAGCCAACTTCTTCACAGGTCATACAGCCCCATATCATCACAGAATTTCCATTGAACTTGATAGTTCCTTATACCAATCTGTCGCTATGCTCCTCTCCTGACTTTTTCCAAGCCCATTTGCAACCATCTGACCCTAGGTAATTGATTTTGGTTTCATCAGACCATATGACCAACTTCCAGTCCTTCAAAGTCCAATTTTTGTGAGTATAGGCAAAGTCCAAGTATGCTTTGCAATATTTGGCAGACAGAAGAGTGTTTGGACTTGACTACAGCCCTCATCCCAGCTTTTTCAGGTAGCAGCAAGTGGTACTTGGGTTGGGGGGCTAATTGACAATATTTGAAAAAGATTTGATCACTTGGATAGCAGTTTCTGCCTGCTGAGTGAAGATGAAACAAATAGGATAACAAATATTGACTGAGGAAAGCTTGGTTGAATGACCACCAGTGAACTTTTACAAGTAGGAACACTCTTTTTAATGAAGCTTGGAGATTGTAGTAGTGCTGACACCAGTTGTGGAGGCAATAGAGTGGATAGAATGACCAGCATTAAGCTGAAAGATAATGGTATTCTTTTGAGTAGTAGAGGGAGATCCCATGGTGGTAATGATTAAAAATAAAGAAGCATGGGAGCAATTTCAAACTCAGACATAATATTTTTATGTATATTTTTATTTGTATAAGCAAATAACAGTAACCATCCTCTGATTTGACTGAGATCCCACTATCTATATCAACAGCTGCAAAACTGTTACAATGGTATCTGTCTTAAAATAGGCATATCTTCACATCCTCTTGGCCAAATCACGTGATCCAAGTGTCAGTCTGTAGCCAAGGGTTTGTAGTTCACATGCCCCCACCAACACTAAGCATGATTCTCACATGCATAGGTGCTATATTGTGTACACTGAAAAGTACCAAATATTGTAATAGTTTTGCAAGTCACTGTAGGAGGGGTGAGTCTTCAAGATAGTGAGGTAATGTTTGACCTTTCTTTGTAGCAGCTTGAAAGATGTAATGCACTTGTGCAATATAGGTATCTGCACAGGCTCATTGTTACAAGAACATCTACCTGTTTAGCCCCTATTCATTTTCCCTAACTTTCACACCTTGCTGAACCTTCCACTCTCAGGCAATCACCCCTATTTCCTTTTCTGACTTGTTCCTTCCATTTCTCTTTGATTCCACTGATCACTCTTGATGGTTGTACCACTTTGTTGGCTTGTCCAATGACTCACTGGCCCTATGCCCTTACTGCCCAACCAGTATCCTTTACTTACTTTGGTATTCTGACTCATTGTGACTCATCATAACTGTTACAGTCACATATGCCCCTATTCATTTTCTTCATTCTATTGTGTATTACATCACGAGCCACATGATGCTGCCACTAGACTTATCTCTGACCCATTTGTTGTATTACATCACAACCGCAGTCACCATTGCTAGATGACCTATTCTTGCTATTGCTTATGCATTTCTTATCTCTGACTCATTTCATTCTCACACTTGCCCTAAAGCACAAGTAGCCCACTATAAATAGTCCTCTTGTATGCTTTAGTTACTTCACTTTAATCTTACTAGATTCTACCTGAAACATCTTTCACTTAGGACCTCCAATCCTAAGTTGTCTGAACTGATATTCAAGTTAGAGACACTCTCTCTTCCTTGTCTTATGACCCTTGCATTTGCAAGGTCTTGATCGTGATGTCAGCCGTTGCTCTTATTGAGCTGCTGCCATTACATTATTCTAGTTCATAACAATGACTTGCACACCCCATACCCTTACCGTTCAACTGGTACCTCTTACTTACTTTGGTATTCTGACTCGCCATGACTTGTTCACCCTCTACCTTTACCACTAATATAGCAGACTTGCCCTGATCCCTTCCTACAGTATATATACCTCTCAGGTAGCACTTGTATTCTCTAACTTGAATCTACTTGGTTCTTACTGTCTTACTCTTTGAGCCCTAAGCAAGCTCTCATCTTTATCAAGTATCTTCATTGGAGCTCATCACTGCCGATGTCCTTAGCCTTGAAAAGAGAATGATTGATGACTCACCATCATAATCATTGATAATTAACCATAGCCCTTGCAGCTAAATTTATTGCTGTGAACTTGTACCATTTGATGCTCACTGGTTGCAGCAGGCTTGGTGCAAGCCCCAATCCAAGTTCTACATTACTCATTCACTTCATTTGCCTGTTGCAGACTTAGCTTGATCATAACACTCATGAGCACATGAATGGTGCCAGCAGTGTAATACTTACCACTACTAGCAGACAATTGCATGAGAACTGCATCACAATTGCCCAAAGGGAAGGCTTCTGACAGTGGAAATGCCTGGATGATTTGACTTGGCATCATGATTCATGACTGGAAGGTAGATAGCAGTTGTAAATGAAACTCATTCCATGTCCTGACCAAATCTCATGTGCATATCCAGGCTGTTATTGGGGTGTTCTGGGACAAATTATTGGTATATTCTGTGAACACTGTGCCAAAATCAGGGAGAGAGTAGATAGATTGCAGATTGGTGATAGGAAGTAACTTTCAATCAGGAGAGACAGTGACATGAAATGCAGCATTGACTTCAATGGACAGAATTCCCTTTAAAAATGATTGTGAATGGGATGTGGGCCATGGAAGTGATTCTGTTCATGGGGGAGCACACACACTATCCAGGCCAATATAGGATCTGTCTCTGTGACAATATTGTCCTTGGTGTTAAGGTCATGTGCTCAAGGGGGTCGGATCACAAGGGCTTGGCCTCAGCTCGTATGCTGTGCCCCTTTCCTGAGTATGTGCCCTTAATTTCCGGGGGCTAGAACAGTCATCTGGAGTTTCCAGGATTTGACTAGGGTGGATAGCAGATGTCCGTATCTGAAACATGAGATAAATCCAATGGACATCTGGATATTACCTGGGCAAGCAGATAAGACTAATCCGGATGGACTACCTTTAAGGCAGAGTTGGAAATGTAGTCTAGGATGCAATCCTAAGACTCAGAATATGACAAAAGACTTATCTCGAGTCCAGAGGACACAGGAATGAGCAGGAACTAAGATGATATTCGAACTGGAGTATTTCCGAGAGTTACAGGAGGTTTATATACTGTAGATATCATATAGGAATCAGTCAGCAAACATAAAGGCTATGTACAAAGCATATGCAGAGTCTATTAGTAAGTAGGACAGATCACAAATAATGAACACTGGAAATGAAATGTATGTAGTGGATCAATAATCAAAGGGAAACATAGTTAACCGGAGTCCAGAGACAGGGGCAGTCTAAATGGGGTTGGGCACTGATATAGGGTTTGGATTCCGGAAGGGAGATAAAGATAGATCAGATCATTTGAGATCCAATCTCAGATCTGGATATCCAGAGAAGCAGATTTAGAGTTGAGAGTCCAGAATGGCATATGACACCTTGGTTGCAATTGCATTCATGAGCAGTGCACCATGTGAATGCAGAAGAGTATAAAGATTGTGTCATATCTGCATATCCAGATCTCAGATCCAATCCTTATCTCATCTCAGATCCAATCCACATCTTATCTCCAATCCTATTCACATCTTATCCCCCTCCAACATCTTGTCATCCAATCTGTCCACTCGTCCGGTCCAGTCCACAATTCATCCGAATCCACAACCAGCACACATCTCCTTTCAGTAATCCCCTAACTCCAGTATTTCAGTTATCTGTATATCCGTCCTGCTCCCTGATCCATTACCTATGCTTCATTTCCATTTCATTATTTGTGATCCATTTCTACTTACTAATAGACTATTCATATGCTTTGTACATAGCCTCAGACCCTGCTGATTGATCATTCCATTAGATACCTATAGTATATAACCTCCTGTAAATCTCTGTAACACCTCAGTTTGAATATCATCTTAGTTCTGCTCATTCCTGTTCCTCTGGACCTGAGTATCTCTACTCTCATCACCCTCTGAGACTTAGGATTGATTCCTATAGTCTATCCATATCCACCTCTATCTACAACAGTCCACTACCATTAGTTTCTAGTCTGGACTCATCCAGATTAGCCCTATGATACTTATCCTACATCCAGAAGTCATCCAGATCTGCTATGCTACTCATCTGACCCTCTGGACATGTTAGTCTTGCCCTTCTGAAATAAGGGGCAATACTCAGGTAAGGGGTACAGTGCATGAACTGAGGCCAAAGCCCTTAGGATCCATTAGCCCTTGAGTATGACCTTAACAGATTAAAACATTGTATGGTTTCATTGTGATTGAGAATTTGGATGACCTGTAGGGTGAAATTCCTGGCTTGCTAACCAGTCCTCTTGAACAGGAATTTGCAGTGTGTAATTAAGAGCCACTCACTGACATCTGCTGAGAATTGTATCAAACCACCAAGTTCTCTGATACACCTTGCAAAGCTATGAAACAACTCCATCTTTGGGATAAGAAAGTTATTAATTATCTCACTCTTGCCCCTCTGAGCACTGGCATTGAGTTTTAGCCTATGAAACTTGTCAAGAGAGCACACCATAGCATCAATGGATGAGTCAGTGTGCATAGGGCTCTGTGCCTGGTAGATGAATTTGGTGAGGGAATGGATAGCATGGACAAAGTCAGGAGTTGTATTGGCAGTGCCAGTGATCATTGAGACAATGGTCCATTCAATGTTGTGATGTTCCCAGCAAGTCATTAGATTGATATGGGAGATGCTGGACCCAAAATGACATGTTCCTACTCACTTATGATAAGCTTTGAAGTGATCATCAAGCTTATCTTCCCCAACAACCTCCAAGCTTACATTATTTTAAAGGGTTGTCAAAATACTTGTGACATGTGTGAAGCATTTCACTGGGCAAAAAATAGGACAGGTCTGCATATGGCCAGTCTCCCCAAAATGGCTAATGAATGCCACTCAACAACAATGCTTTAGCTTCATGTTGGAAGAGCAGGACATTCCACAAATTGACACATTTGTGTAGGTTGTAGATGAGTTTGAGTGTGTGGTTGCCTGTTTGATGGAGGAAAAGGTGTGAACTGCCAAAGTTGCTTTGGACAGCCATAATGAGCAGTGATGCATTCTTTGAGACACAAGCAATTAGCTATGCCTCAGGGAGATTGGCTGTGTATGCAACAAGTAGAGTGAAGCAGTGTCGCACATAACCCATGGGGTCTGGCATGTATTTGCCAGTCCTTGTGGCTACCTTACATGTGGCAAATATTATATCCATGCACTTATGAAACAGACGACTGTGGAAGAGCATTTGGAAATCCAAGTAAATGTCAAACTTTGGAATTAGGATAAATGCAACACAATGCCACACATGAGTGGCTGCCTTCATTTGAACCTTGGATTGGATATTACCAATTGTAAAGAACACTGGGTGCATTTATAAATCCCCTGACATCCTCATCACAGGTGTTTTGTCTGACACAAGAATAATCAGTACCATGGTTGCACCTTCTGGGAGGTTGTTCTGTCATAGCACTGAGTGATTCCACCATACTACTAACAAAAAAATCATACCTGAATAGTGAAAGCCCTATTAGCAGTAAAGAATTTGCTGTATTCACATTCTGAGCCAGGCATAACAATATAAGGATCATACATCATATGGTTAGAAAATATTGGGTTTGCAAAAAGATCTTTGACAACTTCAAGGCCATCACACCAGATACTAAGCTCAATCAGCCTTTCAGTTGTGTAGTTGGTAAACTCGAGTATTGTTAATTGCCACTCTAGGCCACTTGGTAATACATTGATCCAGCCAAATAGCTGGTTGGCTCTCTTGAAGGATGGACTATGTCTAGTTTTAAACTCATACAAAGCTCAAAACCACACAAATCCAAAACTATTCAAAATCATACTACTTACCCAATCTAGCTTTATAAATTTATTGATATTGGTGGAGTGGGGCACCCCTGGTGCAGGGGGTTGCAGAGGCAGATGTTTGTAAAGGTTTGAGCAGCTTAGTCAGGACAGAGAGACCATTCCAGATGAGACTGTAGTAGACACATCATCACTTCATCAGGATCATTGCTCAGGGCACATTGGCTGGAGTGACCACTCTATCATGGTAAGAGAGTGGAACTCAATCAATGCAACAGCTTCTACCAAAGTGTTTTAATGAATACCGATTGGTCAAAACACAATAAACATCACAACAGTGAAATGTCAACAAGAAGCACCTGAAACATCAACAGACACATGCAGTATACACCTTATTTATATAGCCCCAGAGAACAGCCTACAAAAGCCCAGTGGATACCAGAATACTACCCAAGCCCAAACTACCACAAGCAGCAAACAGATAGTTTATTTCTAGGAAAATTCTAAACAATCTATCTGCTGAATCTTCTCCATTAGATACCCCAGAAATGAGAATGTATAAACTCATTAATAATAACCTCAATCAGTAAGACTTAGAGTACAAATCTTATGAGGTTCAACATCAACTAGAAAAAGCCAAAGAAGACCAGGAATTATTATTAGGAGCACCTGACCTAGATGATACTGAACTCCCCACATTTGACTTGAAGCCATAATAACTCTATTTCTAACCTTACAGCCATATACCCCAATGCCACTTCTACTCACCCAGCCTTGTCCATAAACACTGATCAAAGCTCCATCTGTACTCACCATCCCTACTCCAGCCCTAGCACAGAAAAAGATGACTAATTCAAACACACCAGCCTAGTTCCATAGCAAATCCAATGAAAATGCACAGAACTTCCTATGGGAGGTTAATAGGTACATCATACTTAACGACCTGAAGACAGAAGCAGGGAAGGTCATGGTATTCAGTACCCTGCTATCAGCAGGATCAGTGACAGACACTTGGTGGATGAAGCTTGATAGCAAGCATAATGCCACATGGCCTGACATAAAATTGGCCTTCTTAGAATGATGGCCAGCTATCACAGTAGCAGAGAAGACTGGATTGGATTACCAGCACAAAATCCTAGCATTGCAACTAACAGAGAAATAATTAGGAAAGCAGATCACTGTTGCTGGCATACTGACAAGGTCACACCTGCAGTTCTGTACTAGCCTATAACAGCCTGTCGAGGAAGCAGGAACAGCTACAATGGCTGGTCTCATCTACCAAGTATGAGAGAACCTGCCAGCAGTAATGAATGAGCTCACAATTCCAGAGTTAGCAGAGTGGAAGAAGTTCATGGATGAGATCATGGCCATTGACACTAATAAGCTGTGGGAGAAAATGAAAGCAGCTCAGAAGAAGAAAGACATGGAAAAGGCACAGAACACCTATATCACAAGGCTAGAGAACTTACAGATAGATGCTGTGGAGGTTTTATGGCTGCTGCTACAATGAACCAACTTTGGAAGCAACCACGAATACTGACACCCATCTATCCTCCAATACAACAGTACCACATATATGCTATGTCCCCAGAAGAATGGGACATGCTAAGGAAACATGTTGAGGAAATACCACACCACCAAAACAATGCAGCAGGAAGAGCAGCTTACAAGGAACAGTTGAAACAATGGTTTGCCACAAATAGTCAAGATGGTAAAGTCACAGAAGGAACTCCATTTTCATTACAACCAGGTAGTGCTATGATATGCTCAGGGGAATGCTTCAGGTATGAAGTGCATGGTCACATCATGGCAGAATGCCCAATCCCAGAGGCATCACAGCTGTCCCTGCAGGAGAAAATCCAGTGCAGCATCACAGCTTACTTGCTAGGGAACTTTAATCAAGGACAAGCTGTGCAAATTGCCCTAGTGTTTGAGGATGAGTATGTACAGCAATAGGAGCAGGGAAAAGGTCAAGGGTCATTAGCTTAAAGGACAGCCAGATGACCCAACTAGACACCTTACCTCAATCAGTTAGATACTCTGTCCTCACATGTACAGAGGCAGCATGTGAGGACCAGCCCAGTAGCCCTGTCAAAAACATGTTATGCATGCAGTCTACCATTGTATCAGTACCAGAACAATGTAAAATCATTGACTTGTATTTAATAGAGGATGTGAAAAGTAACATACCAGGAAACCAGTCCTGCAGACCTTTCTTGCAGTACATCTCACTTGCAGGACCCAACAGTAAGACCAACAGAGTCAAAGCTCTATTCAATGAAGGCACAATGGTCAGTGTGATGTGTACATTGGTGTTTGACCACATCAAACACAGATTAGGGAATTGGGGACCATCAATCAAGAGACTCTGAATGGCCAATGGAACAAACATCCCATCAGAAGCAGTGTGGAGAGGCAAAATTGTGCTAGGAGGAGTCTCAGTGCAAGGTGAATTCTGTTATGAACTAGGATGGTTTGAAACAGTCAAAGTTCAAAAGAGAATATTCAGAAACTGAGTTCTTGTTCTCAAAAAAGAGAAGGTCTAAAACTAACAACAAGGGGTGCTTGTTATTAGAATATCAGTTCAGGCAACTAAGGATTGGAGGTCCTTAGTGAAAGATCAGGTAAAACCTAGTAAGATTCAAGTAAAGAACTACAACGTATAGAGTCACCTATTTATAGGGAATAGCTAGGAGAGTTTAAGGTAAGCATGAGTAAGTAAAGATATAAGCAAATACCCAATAAAGGTGAATGTGACAGAATTGGTTAAGACCAAAAGCAGTAAGTCAGAAGATAACAAAATAAGACAATCTAACAATGGCAAGTAGTAATCATGATGTAATACAATGTGAGATAAGAGAAACAAAAGAATAGGGGCACACATTAATTGTAACAAATTCAAAGTCTTCAGAAGTGGAGGCAGCTGGAAACTCCTATTGGGCAAACTGTTACTGCAAGCTTTCAAAGCTGTTCATGACTACAACAAGGATAAAGTGCAAGTAATGGGAAACAGAGAGACAACAACACTCCACAACCACAAAGTGCACACAGCCAAGATGATCAAAGTGGAGGACTATAAGCAGCAAATGTCATTACCAGCCAAGGGTCAACACAGGGGGAGGGCATCCCCCCTCAAGGCAAGTCAATCAAGTAAAGCAGAACCCAACACCAGATTGTACTAACAAACCTGTTGAAGGAGTGGGAATGATAGAGGAAGTCAATGTGAAAACCAAGGACAAGACCCTGAAAAAGGATGAGGAATATGAATAAGGAAAAGAAGAGAATGCACACAAACAGCAGGAATGCAGCCTGAGGAAGAGAACAAACAGGCAAAAAGACAGAAAAGAAACAATCATACAAGCAGGACAAGTAGTAGCAAGAAGGATCAGAGGGTAACATTCTAAGAAGAAGAGATTGCAAACACATGTTCAGCAAGCAATGGAAAGGGGGAGTGAAACACTCCCCTCAAGGGAAGTACTTCTCATGAGCAAAACAATGCAGAGCAATCAAGTAGACACTGACACTTGTTACAGCCATTGTATACTCCTATTCATTTTCTCTTCTGTTTGCTTTGTATTACATCATGAGCTACACATTGCTGCCACTAGACTCATTCTGTTACGAACTAGAATGGTATAATGACAGCAGCTCGATAAGAGCAATGGCTGATGTTATGATCAAGACCTTGCAAATACAAGGGTTGTAAGACAAGGTAGAGAGAGTGTCTCTTCCTTGAATATCGGTTGGTTCAGATGACTTAGGATTGGGGGTCCTAAGTGAAGAATGTTCCTGGTAGAATCTAGTAAGATTAAAGTGAAGTTCTACTAAGTACATGACCAGGTATATATAGTAAGTGGGTACTTTAGGGCAAGCATGATGAGTCAGAGATAGGGACGAGTCAGAGATAAAGATGAGTCAGAGATAAGGATGAATCATCTAGCGATGGCAATAGTGATTGTGATGTAATACAAGTAAGTAAAAATGTATAGGGGCAGGCATAACTGTAACATTACCCCTCATTTAGAAATGAAGTCACCAACTTCAGTTATCCTGATTAGCCCAGTAAATGGGGTCGGCATCATAATTAGAGTCCAGCAAGTCATTTTGTTCTTCAGTGATAGGGAGTGACCTATCAGCTAGTTCAGCGGCATGATAGATGGCATCCTGCTCAATCTCCCAATGAGCAAGGGCTTCATAGAAACTGGGATCAGTCCAAACCAGTGGAATGACCGCTTCTCCTTTCAGATCTTTACAAAAGACTGACAAGTGTCCAGGTGCATACTCTTTGCAAACCCGACAGTAGTATGCCAGGCAGTTCTTGTGGTGATGTCCAGCAGCATGGCAGTTGCGACATATGACATTATCAACTGTTGCCATTTTCACTGTAGTGACGGTGGTCGATTGTTCTGGGGGAGAGGGAGATCTGGATCATCATTTACGAGTCTTGTGTGGGGAAGGTGATGTGGTTCGCTTGGCGGTGATGTGGCTAGATCTGTGCCTAATGGGGTATTGTCATGTAGTGGGCATGATGGGGGTAGGAGACGGAGAAGCTGGTATGTCAAGCACAGCAATAGGAGGGATATTATTACCCTGATGCTCAATGGTAGTTGTTGGAGGGATTGGTGGTGGGGCTGGAATGGCAATATGCAGAGAGGGAGGACGTGCAACTGGGTCAAGAGTGATTTGTTCCATGACGATATGAATAGCCTCTCTGATAGCTTCTCTAGTATCATCAGGCAACAGGCGGATTGCAGTATTACGAATGTGTATATGAAGATGATGGAAGATGGTTTTGTGATGTTCATTGTCAAGAAGGTTAGCAGTGCGCTCAATAAGGCTAGTGTCTCTGATGATTCGGATAATGAGCCTGCTAGATATCGCTCCTCTTTCTCCTAAGAGACAGTCTATTTCTATAGCATATTGCTGGGATGTGATAGCGGATTTGAACAGAGCACTGGTCTCAACTTGATCAATGATTGAGAAGTAATTGGTGAGGATGGAGTTGTTGGTTAGGGTAGAGTCTGATGACAGTGGGGAGACAACTGGGGAGGATGCATTGGCGACGAGATCAGCAGTGGTTGCAGTTTGGTAGTCGATCAAGGATAATGGGTGGGCGATGTTTTCAGATATGTTGTTCATAGCAGCGGTGAGTTCTTCAATTCATTGGATACAGAGGCGTAGGCGTTCAAGAGACATTGTTCTGGGTTTACAGCTTATGAGCCTTTTTATATGTGGTGAGGATGTCGGTAGTGTTGCTAAGGTTCTTTTCTGGGACCCATTCGTTACTGGCGGAAGAGTAACCTTTCCAGGCTATAAGATAGTGTCTTCATTTACCTGTGCCTTTATGCGATAAGATTGCATTGATTTCGTATTCTTCTTTGTTATTGATGACATCTGGGGGTGGATCATGGAAGTTTGGACCATGAACCTCTGTCTCATGATAGGACGATAATTCAGAAGCATGGAATGTGGGGTGAACTCTCCATTGTGGTGGTAGTTGGAGTGTGAATGTGATAGGGGAGAGAACAGCAATGATCGGGAAAGGGCCGTATCACTTCAGTGCAAGCTTCCGTGATGGTAACTGTGTGATTAGATTCTTTCCTGATAACCAAACCTTATCTCCTATCTTCCATGGGTGATATTTCTGTCCATGAGTTCGTTCTGCCATACACTGCATAGCAAGGTTATGGCAGGAGAGTGCTTCCTCTCTTGATTTCTGGAGTGAGCAAAGTCTATCTTCTGCTGCAGGGACAGTAGAATCTGGGAGTATGTGGGGAAGGGCTCTTGGTTCATATCCCATCATCAGGAAGAATGGTGAGGTGTTATGAGAGTCATGTTTTCAATGATTGTGCACGAATTCCGCCATAGGAAGATGTTCTACCCAATCTTCAGGATGATTTTGGCAATAGATTTGGAGATAGGTTTCAAGTTCCTGATTAAGACGTTCAGTTTGACCATCAGTTTGGGGATGATAAGCGGTAGATGCAGCTATGTTGTATTTCAAAAGCTTGGCAAGGGCTTTTGACAATTTTGACATGAATTGCGGTCTGTGATCAGAAATGACTTTCTCATGCAAGCCGAATCGGCAGTAGATGTATTTGAAAAATTTCTTGGCGACCCCTTTGGAAGTGATGGTTTTAGTGCATGGGATAAGAATTACCCCCTTCATAAGCCCATGGTCTACCACAACCATAACAGAATCAAAACCAGCATGAGGGAGATTGGTGATAAGGTCGATGGAGACCTGGGTGAATGGAGCTGCAGCAACAGATGGAATGGGGACGAGGGGTGGAGTCATTGGATGAGTATCAGATTTCATCTGTTGGCAGAGAGCACAACCTTCAATGTATTTATGGATATAGGTACCCATAGAGGGCCACCAAAAGTCCTGCTTAACCAGTTCTTCAGTTTTAAAACGCCCAGGGTGACCAGCAGTAGCATGATCATGACAACATTCCAAAATAAGGTGTCGGCCAGCAGGGCAGACGTAGGCGCAATTTCTATAATAAAGGATATTGTCTTTGATTGTCCAATCCATGAGAGTGGATTTCATGGGGGGAAGGGAAAGACTGTCTAAGGCATTGGAAGCGGCTTTGAAGATTGGGTTGGGGTTGGAGGGATCAGGGTTGGCAAGGGAGGTCATGAGTTCTACATCTAGAAGGCAAATGAACATGGAGTCAGGAAGAAGGGTTTCATTGGTATTATCTTCAGTGATATCCATGCCATGGTCGGGGCGATGGGAAAGCACATCAGGGGCGGTGAGTTTGGTTCCAGCAACATGGTGGAGTTTGATATTGTAGCAGGATAAAATCAACTGCCATCAGGCTTGTCTCCGGGTTAACTTCTGAGCAGTTCTGAAATACAACAGATTCTTATGGTCTGTGAAGACAATGACAGGATGGGGGTTGCCTTCCAGATAATGATGCCATTTGCTTAGAGTGCGAATAACACCAAGG